CCATCAAGGAATCTCTCACCAGTGGGGCACTACCCCAGACGCGGGAAGTATGATGCTTAGCGGATGTGAGTGTGAATGTAAGTAAGGGGTGAGGATAGTACAAGGAAGAGGTAGGAAAGATCGCGCGAGGTCCGTGGCCCGTTCGTTAGATTACTGCTCCGGCATTCGCCTGGTATTGATCGGAGAAACCACGGAAAAATATCTATCAGATCAGCCGGCCCCTAGAATCCTCCTCCAGACAGCGACTGAATCGACCTTACTGACAAGCTAGTGTCGAAAATCCTGCTAATATCGGGACTCGAAACCTAGTACCTCCCGAGGCAATGAACTATCCCGGTGATCTTCGCATTCCTTTATGCTGCAATGTAGGCAACTACCTCGAGACAGACGTTAATTGAAAATTATTTATGTATTAATTTTATATATTTATGTATTTAATTAATTTATCCTCAAAAACAGTCAATAATGTATGTAACTTACGGGGAAGAAGTACATTATCACCACTCTCGCTCAAATACCCATAGGCCCGTTTCTACAAACAGGATTATGTACCGTGCTTTCCGTGTACCACGACGCAAGTTAGTGAATTGTTGTGCCTGTGTGAAGCACTTCCAGGACTCATTAACATCTCACGTATCCATTTACTCAGTTGAATCATGTTAAAAGAAACGAAGATGCCAATATTATCGCAATACTTGGCGAACCAAATACTAAAAACTGTCTTTGATAAGTGTTAGAAAAAAAGTGGCATGGCTGTTGTGGTACACTCAAACAATTTCCCACTACCGGACGTTTCATTTTTGCTCGTACCTGTTTGAGCAGACCAAAATCTCCCTAAAGGCAGAACAGACTTCCGCAAAGCAGAACATCAACGACGTTGCGCCAGAGCGCTCCCTTGCGTGTCTCTGACCCATATGGGAATCCGGCCACGACTGATTCAGTGTTGCAGGTATTTAAAGTCACACACGACCCGCAAAGCTTACTCTGTTACAATTCAGCAAACACTGTCTCGCAGCGTTCATTCCCCACTTTGTAATTCGTTGCAACAAACATTCCGCACTATGTAAGTCATTGTTTTACTAATGAAAGTAACTTCACACTGGCACCATACTTGGAACACGTAGGCCCTTCATTGTGCGTTTTTTCAGATGGCCAGCCCTGAGTTGGGCTAAACATTTTGACATTGTGAAGCACTGTGAAGCATTATGAAGAAACAAAGGGACTCGGATCCGTCCTACGTAATTTCATAGCATATTCATTAGCTAATTCAGTTTTCCGTTTTTATTTTATTTATTAGATTTATTTTTTAACGGTTTGCTCGTTTCTTTTTAACGGTTTGCACGTTTAACGGTGATCACCTATGATATGGAGAGGGTATCCAGAAGAGATAAATTCCCAAAATAGAAATAGAAACATCTGAATGTTTATTACGGCTACAGAAACTCGAGTCTGCGGGATCCCGAAGGCAGGGTCTTAAGAGCCTAGGAGCAGTCCCATCCACGAGAAACTGAGGTAGCTGGGGCTACTAACCTCAGGTCGGGGGACTTATTTGGGACCCCGAACTTTTTTCATTCAAAACACACAAAAATGTTCTTCTAATTCAAATGAACCGCTATAATTTATTTCTGTTTCCTGTAGATGAATTTTGTCTAAGTATTGATGGGAAAGAAAAATTTGTTTAACATAAGAGGCCTCCGTGGATCGACAGCCCTAGGCCCCTTGTTTTCTCTAAGTGCCCCTGCTTAGGTCGCATCTCCTTCTGAGTTACACGCAATGATGACGTGCGTTGCAAATTGCATTCCCCTGCGTACTATTTCTTCGTCACATTACATCTACAAAATTCTACGTATATTATTAGTAAAAACTCCGTTTGATGTACCCCAGTGGGTGGTTTTCCATCTAACAGTATCACATTTAAGGGGTTTTGTGTAAATGGCGTCTTACAAATTGTACAAAACCGTTAGTTTTACGTTGTATATTAGAGGGGATACATATATTGAAAATATTTATTTTAAATAATTTTTCCATTTCCATATCTTTTTATCAAATAATTTTAAATTTTAGAAGTATAGCTCAAAAATTGGATTGCCAACACTAAGCCTTTTTAAGAGGAAAATTGAATTTCTTCAGCATGTGACGTGATAATCCATAGTTCCTTTGCCTCAAAGGTGTTTTTTTAACAAATTGTATGAACTTAACAACTGACAATCTATATAAGCTCGAATAATAATAATAATAATAATAATAATAATAATAATAATAATAATAATAATAATAATTTTCGAACGTTCCCCCGGTGAAAATCTTCAATTCGCACCTTTAACGAAGTTTTTTGTTGAAATTGAACACTTAAGGTATCAAACATGTTGTGTAACCATTTAACAGTGTTCATTTGGACGTGTTAATTCGGACGTGATCATTGGGCTTTATTCTCAAATTATCATTTGTTCGGAAGTGCTCCCAGAAAAATTGCTTAGACAGATAGAATTCCAAGAAGTTACTTCTGAACCACTTTTTACCCAAACTTGCTTGCCTTGCTTTAACCCTTGCTTTAACCTTCATTCGTTAAGCACGCCAGAATAAGGTATCGAAGCATTTTTTAAACAATGTTTTGAATCATTACATCGGAAAAATTGTCCCTCAAAAATCATTCCATGTTCACGCTTCGCAAACTTTGGCTGCGCAGGAATACATAGTATGTTATTTCAGATTTTAAAAAAAACACCACAAAATGCTCATCAGATAGATGAACAAAAGTTTATGTCATGTGGCTGGCAAACGCTTCTTTCCGACACAGCTGTTTCTTAATGATTTTTGAAGATTTTCTGTCAGTTGCGAGGCAAGGCATTTTTGCAAAGTCATGACACGATTTGTCGAAAATACAGACATATCTTTCTGAAGCTACTGGAAGATAGGGTATTCGAAATATTTTGTGGGTGAATGTTCTATCTGTTAAACACCCAAACAACGCCTATTTTCTGGTAATGTTTCTCCATACTCTATTTAATGAATCTTCTGAATACCTTATGCAAACATTGACATTTTTGTAGAATTCTTTGGTTCGTGTTTCCATTGACCACGCACGTAAGACAGAGTTGTAAGTTTGAGGCGAGGGTAAAGCTAAAATTCATTGTGTATCTATTAATATGATATGAATTATTCTGATTTTTCTTTAGATTTAGATGATTTTGTAAAAGCACTTAAATTCCCAAATCCAGCAGAAACACAAACATAATTTTACTAGCGTCGTTTATCTTGCTTTTTATTTTCAAAAAACACTTCCACAGAACTTGTAAGTCTCTTAAATAGGCATCATAAAGTGTCTGATGTAAACTTTGTTTCTTTTGGTAACTTTCGTAGTCCATTTTAATAACAATGGGGAAGACTCTGTCTTTCTGCACCGTCAAAAGCTTCTCTTCAAATTTACGTGAACCAAAATGTTTTTTTTTTCAACTAAATGACATCTTTCTAAAATTTTACCATAAAACATGGTAATTAATGGTTACGTACTACAACACAACTAAAACTCAGTAAATGCGTCCAATAATTATGACACACTCGAAAACACTGTACCGTTTCACTCAAAAGTTCATACTTCTTCATACTGAGCGTTCGACTGTCGCGTTTCGCCAGGAATTGCCGGAAACAGCCGAGATCCACGACCGCAACGATGAATATGAGTGCTTATCACCATGCAGAAGAATAGAAACAGCTGCTATGCGAACAGTTGAGTCACCGAGAGCGGGGGAATTTCAGAATGCATTTTTGATTTATTGACTACAAAATGAACAGAAAATTTCTTTTGAAATTTACTTTTTTCGCCCTTATTTCTGTATACTTATTTTTGAAGTTTTTCTTTCTTGTTCTCCCAATTTAACTTAAAGGGAATCCTGATTCAAAGTTAGGTTCATCTTTTCACTGAGTACTAACACAACACTTTGATAAAGTAATAGTATTTTAAGATCCTTTTAAGTCTTTCAATAGTCTTAAATTTAATAGTCTCTCAAGTACCCGTCATTACCTAATTTTAAGAGTTTCTGATTCTTTCATTTCCTTTTTTTGTGATATTAACATATACATTGGTATTTCATTTTTAACATGAACCTCTATTCAGGAAATGAAAGAAATATTTTTATTGTTCGAACGTAAACAAATACTATGGGAAAGGAACGCGAAGGAATTAAGATTAACGCCATTGACACAAATGGATAATTACGTATGGTAAGAACTTAGAAATTTAGCTACCGTCTTTTCATGTTTATCTATCAGATTACACACGTCAAGAAGAAATAATTTAATGTATTCTGTCACAAGAATGTTAGTTCTTTCATACACACATTACACGTTATTTCATATATTACGTTAGAAAGAATTATGCTCAAAAGCGTTAAATTATATGTAAATACTTCCATATGCGAGTAGTACAAGCGAAAACAGAATTGTATTCTTAATCTGCCATTATTCAAATTACTGAGGTATTTGGTCTCGGGTTTAAATGTTGCATATGCTTGTCAGTAATTCGCGCTATGTAAATGCTGAAATATTTTGGTTGATATCTGGATAAAATGAACACATGATTGTAATGATATTTAATACATTGTTTTTATATTCGTAAGATTTCGTGTTCAGTATGTCCAGAAAACTGGCACATATTTCTTCCTTAACAGCACTGTCAGCAGGGTCTAAATGACCTTCTCAATTAAATATGTATTGTTTTCCTATGCGCATATGCGGCAATGCTGTTAGCAACACTACAGTAACCGTATTGCTGCTCAAACGTAATTTTAAATATGTGTATTACCACATTAGCGATTACTAGTGTAATGACTTTATTACAGTATATGTCACAAAATAAAACAGGGATTTCGTCTTTCTCCACAACAGTCTTCCAAAACAAATTTTACGCGGAACAATGCAACAAACATGCAGCCATTTTTATCTAACATGTTTTTCCAAATCATAAGTAGGGACACTGGTGAGCAACGAACAATTGAGCTTACCTGAATGACCAAAAGTGCGATAGAATTGCAGAAATGCGAAGCCTTGACCTGTGGAAAGATAGCGCCAGTATTGTTCAGCGTAAAAGCGACAGCACTGCCCGCCGTTCCTGCACCGCAAGCTAAATCAATACTCTATGCCCGCGGAGAGCCAAACCGCCGTCGGACGAAAAAACAAGATTCATCCCTACCGCTGGACTGTGCCCCCAAAACAGTGAGGCAGTAGCATTTTATTTTTGTTGAAGAAATTCTCTGCACGGTACAAATTGGCAATAACATTTTTTTCTTGCTAGTATCTTGAATTTAAAAATAATTGATAAAATAAAAGAATAAATTAATGTTACTTATCTCACTAAGTTTTCGCAAAATTTTATGCAGGTGCCCCTGGGCGTTTCAGGTAGCGCATATGAAAATGACTTTATTGTTTTAAATTTGACAAATATACTATCCATGCAGACAATTTCATTGCGATGAAAATAAAAATTATGTCAAATATGTTTGAGATTCAATAGGATATTTCATACTTCATTTCTCAGGCAAACATTTTAAGAGAGAGCTTTTACACAATTTATGAAAAAATGAAAAAAAAACGTGTTCTTGAATAGAAGCTATTTTATTGATCGCGTGTCAGAACAGATGCAAGATGTATTTCATAACGTAAGTGAGGGAAATTTATTATGACAGGAAATAAAGAATATTAATCAGCACTTAAAATATGTGTTTAATTAGCGGAGGACATATGGGTATACATATTGTTCTTTTTTGTTATTTGATTTAGCTTATAGTTCAAGTTGAAGAAACCGCCGCACAGTTCAATATTTCGAGCGTGTTTTCATATTAGTTTGTGAGACGTACTGTAGGTAGCGTCAAAAATCTTAGGCGAAGACCCATGACACATGTTTGATCACGTGATGCTTTTATCGCCAGGATCAGAATCAAAGTGACAATGGCTGTCGTTCGTCATCAGTGTGATTTGGGAAAGACAGTGGTGCGATGAAGAATAACGGAAGTGGTTTAATGACGGTGTGTGATATAGTGGAATATGATTACAAGAGAATTTCCGCGATGTGAATTAAACAACTGGAGTTTTGTTTTCCAATAGGATCAGTAATCGAATGGTGTGGGTGAGGAGTGTGAATGTTGCCACTCACGTTGAAGTTCAATTTAAATGTCCAAAGAAATTCTCTATGGGGTAAATTAAAGTTGCAGAACATTGAACTGAGCGATAGAGAACATGTTCAGAAGTAGAAGTTGGTTTGGAAGTGGACTTTGGAAGCCTAAAAACCCTCATTCTCTGGAACACTTAAAGTAAGTTCCAAAGCAAATTTAAAAACGTGGGAAAATGATAATTGTACAATCATGAATGTTGCTTTAGAAAAACATACATGTTAAATAACGTGAATCAGTATGTACAAATGGGTACTACTGATTGTTGTATAAAACATACTTGAATGTTATTGTTTTCATTTATGTTGTTAAATTTGATTTATTCTCTGAATTGTTAATAGGTACCTGTACAATGTTTTATCAAAGAATCAAACTGTGTCAGACACGAATAGAGGACTGTTGGTTGAAACATTACGATCTATTGCTGAGATACTCATTTGGGGAGACCAGAATGACAGCAGTGTTTTCGAGTAAGATTTATGTATATTCCGATAATATTTTCGAGACACTAATTGTTAAAGAATTGTGTATTTATTTCAAGTTTATTAACATTGCATAGACATCCAATTACTTTTTTCAAATATTTTTCTGTTTCCAGTTTTTTCCTTGAAAAGAACATGTTATCATTTTTTCTCAAGATTATGAAACAGAAATGTGGAAGTTACGTGTGTGTGCAGCTGCTTCAAACATTAAATATTCTTTTTGAAAATATAAGGAATGAAACATCGTTATGTACGTATATCATTGAACAGTGTTGGACATCTTATATTAATTACATTCAGTGGGTCTAAGATTATGAAAATGTATTGAATTTGATTTTGAACATGTATTGAAAGTAAATGCTCTTATGTGTACTTCACATTAATGTCTTACTCATTAAGGAATGAAATTTTCGGAAATTGATAAACCAAAATTAGATCACTATTCCAATACAGTGTACGTGCGTTGATGAATTTTCAGTTACGTTTTAGGCAGATAAATCATGTTCAGGTAATTCAGTTTTTTGTTGTGTATAACATACAAATCTATAGTGATTGTTTGCTTTGTACCTGATTTGATGTAATTAAATTTTTTGTGTATTTTAGGTTTTTTAATTATTAATAATGGGATACTAGTGAATATATAAAGATAAATTTTGTGAATTTTGATTGCCTTCAGTCCAAAACAAAATTAATTTTTGGATTATCTTTTGCTTTCAGACTATCTTTTGAGCAACAATCATGTGAATTCTATAATTGTTCACAAATTTGACTTTTCTGATGAAGAAGTTATGGCCTATTATATTTCATTTTTGAAAACTCTATCATTGAAACTTAATTCTCATACTATACACTTTTTCTATAATGAGGTATGTGGTAGATTTATGGGAGTTCTTTCCATTTGTTTCCTATTGATCTGTATTAATTATGGTGTTAATCTTTTAATGTAATAATTTTCAGCATACAAATGATTTCCCATTATATACAGAAGCAATCAAATTTTTTAACCACCCTGAAAGTATGGTACGCATTGCTGTGAGAACTTTGACATTAAACGTGTACCGTGTTGAGGACCGCTCCATGTTGAAATTCATCCGCGATAAAACTGCTGCTCCATATTTTTCTAATTTAGTTTGGTTTATTGGAAATCATATTCTTGAATTAGATAGTTGTGTGAGAAATGATGCAGAGTGAGTTATTATTTTATCTTTATTTAACAGTTTTTTAAAATAATTTTATATTTTAAGTCTGAAAATGGTATTTTGTTTCAGCCATCAGAGTCAGAATAGACTCTCTGACCTTGTGGCAGAGCATCTGGACCATTTGCATTACCTAAATGATATTTTGTGTTTAGAGATTTCTGACTTGAATCAAGTTCTGACCGAACATTTGCTCAATAAGTTGTTAATACCACTCTATGTATATTCCTTAACGAAGCGACGGAGACATTCACAAATAGAGGTAATGTTCAATTTTAACTTGCAATGAGTGAGAAAATTTTGAATGTGTGATTGTATCATATTGTGAATTATATCCCAGGTGTGGCTAAAAGTTTGGTTAAAATTTAGTATACGGTACACCCTTAGAGAAACATGGCAGCTGGGCTTAAGCCCTAATTACTGTACGTGCTCTAATAGAAATGAATAAATCTTATGGATAGGCGATTTTCATGGTTTGCCCTTCAAATGCTTCGTCCTCGTCGCATTGTAATGCCAATTTACTTTCAAAGGCAAGTTTCCTCGCTTCGCTCGCTCTGATCCAAGTCACGGCGAGGCTCGGGCCTTCGGCCCTTGCGTTCACTATAAACATCCTTGAGTCTATCCAATGCATAATTACCAATTCACTTTTATAAGACATCACTTTTCAAGAAAGTCCCCAGCATTCTAACTGCCTAGTTAACGCAGGAACGGCACGAAGTGCCGGTTTAAATGACTTCCCTAGGTTGTACCGTATACAAGTTCATATACATATTCAGTCAAAAGTTTTTGTTCGTGGTCCAGAATAGAAAGAAAACTTTTTTCATTATCTGGGCGTAATGTTAAAATTAATTTCATGTTAAATACAAAAATGAGTTGTTTAAGTAAATACAGTTTTAGTCTGAGTAAATGTTGGGTATTTAGTATAACATGCTAAAAAAAGTATTTAGGTTTTTTCATCGCCTATTAATTTTTAATATCAGGTTTATGCTTTTAGAAGATATTCTTAACATAGCCTCTAAATGTGAATCATTCAATATTTTTGTTCTTTTATTTAGATGTCAATACATAAATATTAAGTAAAAGTTTTGTTAGCAAAAATATGAGTTGATCTGAGGATTACTAAATATTTCTTGGAAAGTTCCACATTTTAAAATTCCACGTTTTTTATTAAAGGAAAATTGTGTATGAAAATTGCACACATTTTCTTGCTTTTCTTTACATCTGTCTAGTAATAATCATCGCATTGTAAATTAATGATTTTTAATTGGATATCATCAATGTATTATACATGTACAGAAAATAAATTTTGGTTAATAGATCATATTTTATCAATATTCTTCTGACGCGCTGCTCAAAATAGTCATTAGTTAGATCATAATGTTATTAAATTTTTGAATCTCTATTGAAGTTAGATTTATAAAAATTTTGCAGATGTCTCTCAAAATAACACCGAAACAACGGTTTTGAAAAATGTTTTATATTTTTGTAAATAAAAATATTTTCTCATAATGGAATTTTTTTACCACATTTTGTAGAAAAAATATTTCTGTAGAATGGATAATTCTAAGGTAATTAGAAAGAAATCGTTTCAGGAAATGTAGGAGACATTTATTAACACCTGAAAATGTCAGTTTTCTACTACAAATGTAAGTTCAGAAAAGGAAAATTTAGATAAAATATGCAGACTTTCGGGAAATGGGCTTTCAAGACGCAACCATCAGAACACACCAGCTCGATAATTTGCCTAATCAAGATTAATAATTTTCCAATAGCTACTTGCTTTTGAGACACTTCTGTTGTTTTGCTTCACAGCATAAAGTTTTCAATTTGCTTTCTGTATGTCTAAGTCTTTCAGTAGTTACGTACAGCATTATGTAATAATATCTAAAAGTATTGGAACCAGCATTTAAGCACAGTGAAAGGAGGACTTCACATTTAAATAATGATAATAAAAAAAATACTTGTGAGAATGATATCAACATATTTCAAACACCTATTTAAAGGGAGAATTTTGGAGATTTATCAAAAGTTAAATATCCAAAAAAAATTTTTTTGAAGGCAAAACATTCCGTTTCCCTTTAAATACAGTCTGTTTCATTGAAAAATGATCAAATTTGCATTCAGTCAAATTTATAGAAAAAATACTAAACTTCGTTTGAAGTGATTTTAATCTTTTATTAAATCAGGAGCACTTACATTTTTTCCTTGTAAACATACAACCTTAAATTTGTTGATATGCTTGAGAATATCCAAATAAAACGCTAAATCACAGGTCTTATGTGGATCTTTTAATTCAGGCAATTATCATTTTCTTTAAGTGTTAAAAATACTTTTTATTTCCTCATGATAACACTGTACTTGTCTTAAATCTTTTCCCAAGCTTAAACAAAGTGGTCTAATATATCTACATACCTGGTGTACAGTTCTTCAATGAATTCAAAAAAATGCCTGTTTTAATCTTTTTGATGGAAGGAAATTCACTCATTTCACAATTGCATGTAACATGTTTGTTTTTAAAAATATTTTTACATAAGTCTTGTTGATGAATAATGTAGTGTAAGTATGGGTATAATTTTATGATTTGGATCAATCAAAAAATGAAGAAATCATTTTAATATACCATGTTATATTAGTAATATAATATTATATTTTGTTAAAAATATAAGTACATACTGTAACAATATCCAAAATGCATAACAGTTGATTGAAACAGTATTCAATTAATAGAATGATCTTGAATGGGTTATATCAGTAATAAAACAATTATTTTGATTTACAAACAGCTGAGGTACATTTTGAGTTATCAAATGCAATGATTGTCTATGGTACAATGCTTCTTAAATATCGTAATTTACAAAAGTCAAACCTCACCTTTTGCTTCTGAGTTTTTACTGAGATTTTAACTTCCATTGTTGTACAGTGATTAAATATCATAGTTTACGTGTAATGACTTAAAAGTACCATTTATTTCATTTCTACACTGCATTGTGCAGGGAATATTAAAAATTTAACTGTGGGCCAAATTTGGCCATGTCTGCTCGTGCCTATATTTTGATGAAATTATTTTTTCATTGACGTCGCATGGTCATTGCTAGCTTGTACAGAAGTCTTAGTAGATGTTCTTGGATTTTGGAAGTGTAGTATATTTTTATTTTGAAATTTTTGGAGTACTTTAGGATATTATTCAACATGCATTCAAATACAGTAATATTTTATGATGGTTTGTTTCAGGATATCAAACCTCATGTCAGCAGTGTTGTATCTCTATTTCTTCTATCCCAAGTATTTCTAATAATTACTCATGGCCCTTTGGTCCACATACTTGCTTGGATTATTCTCAACGGAGATATGGAAATATTTTCACAGGGTGCCTCCGAGAAACTTGCATTGTACAGACAAGCCCAGGTAAATATTCATATTTTTTAATTTGCAAACATTGTCACCTCTTGTGTAAAATGTCTAAGCTGTCATTGCAACTAGTCACTAAAGATGTTGGTGATGAAAATTGAGAAGTTGAAAGAAAGTAAATAAACCATGTTAATTTAGATTAATAGCATTTAAATAAAATAAGTATTATAACCATCATTGGAAATTTGTATTTATAGTCAGAAGGAGATTTGTTTCAAGAAAAACGTGAAATTTTAAGTTTAATTAAGGCCTTCTAAAACCAATATTCAATAATATGCATGCGATGGGGTACCTCGTAAAGATGAGTTTCTCACATACAGGAAGAAAAACCCATCATTTAAGCAGGACTTGGAATAGCGCATGTTTTTCAATAATGGGGTCTTCTGTATATTGCAATGAATTGATTTGAGAATTTCTCGTTGAAAGTAAACAACAAGGAAATAAAATTGATTATTATGATGGATCCATTGGTACTAGAAAATTAAATTAAAAAAATAAAATAAATTGAAATAAAATTAATATTCTAAATTATACAATGGTTCTTAAAGTTTATTGTAAACCGTAAAATTGGGTGTCATTTTCAATTAGAAACTTGATTACAATGCAAATAGCAGTAAATATAAGGTTGTTTTGTCTTGAGAGACCATACATTTCTTTTAAATGAATATATAATTTCTTGCAATAGTTACGTTTTTACTTTGTTCATTTCATCTGGATAACATTACACTTCATTTGAATTTATTCAAAAATTGTATGTGCACAAATAAACAGTCACCTCTGTCAAGTAAATTTATTTATAAAAAATATTAATGTTATTTAATACATTTTGCTTCTGTCTCTGAAAGGGTTCTGCCAATATTAAACCAGGATTTGTGGCACCTACTGAAAGCCTAGAAAAATCACTTGAATCAAATACAATGAGTACTGGATCTCAAGAGGTAACTGATTCAGATGCAACTTCTGGAATATCATCAGGAACGCAAGGTACATCCATTTGATAGTATCATTGTCATTTGATATGATATCTTTCTTAAACTGATTCTGTGGTATATACTATAGTTAAAATTCTAAGTACTGCGGTATAAATAATGTTTGAATTTTAAATTGGAGTAGTTAGACGATATAAAGAAAATATAAAATGCATTATTTAATGCAGTTAATGCATTATTGCATTTGACTTCATGCAGTTTTTTTTCCCAATTGTCTATAACTAAATTATTAGTAAATCTTTATTTGTTAGAAAGAGTTTAAATATATTTAGAAAATTTCTGGTTTGTTTTGCATCACCTGTAGACATATTTATTTAACCCTAGTTAAAAATAATAATCCTTGTTCTGACACTGGAAAGTTCTGAATAAATTTAGTTAGTTCTTATTATATGATCCGGTCATACAATTCTGCAAATTTCTTCTAAATGCTGCATGAAAAGCATCTGTCATAGAAAAATATCCAAGTTAGAAGAATGTCTGTTAATGCATGACCTATCAACCAGAGGAAATGGAATTGAAAAAGAGGAATTTCAAAATCTAGGGGCCTACTGTACTTTATAGTGCCATTAAAAAAAAAGTTGTCTAATACAATTTATTTTTCTAAAGACTTGGAGAATGCTGATGCACTTCCAGGAAGTGAAGAGTTATCAGCATTTTCTTCTGTAGAGACCCCCGAAGTACTGAATATTACAGATGAGGAAAAGGAGCAGATGCTAGCACTTGGTGAGATAAATGTGGAATAAATACGATTTTTACCCATTTACTTATAAGTAAGCTCTGGATTTTTAGAATCTACACATTTTTAATTAGGTTTTTTCAATCAAGAGTTTAAGATTTTTATAGATTTTTGAAATGTCCACTTAATGAACTATAGGTTTCATATGTATATTCTGTGTATTAAAACTCCTAAATTAGGTTACTACTCATTCTCCAGTACCTTTATTGTAGCAATTGTGAAGTATTCATTAATGCTATTAACAACTCTCTGAAATGTACTTGTTTCTGTCTTGTGAGCGACTATTTTGACTTTCATTTGTTCCAAATTGTGTTGGGGGTGTGGTCAGTCATTAACATGTAGAAATAATTCACATTTATTTCAGACACTGCCTAACTCATGCTACAGGGACCAACGTTCTCCCTCTTATTTTGCTATTCTGCCTTGTGAAGAATGTTGGCATAAAAACAACTTATTTATATAGCTAGAATTCAGTAACACCTCTATTTAAAGGACTATTATTGCTTCAAATTATTTTTCAATTAAAAAGTGGTGAGGCATTCGTGCTTGGTCATCGTAAGATTCGTAGAGTATCCAGGTCTACCTTCTGGTGGGGATGGGTGAGCAAGGAAGGGTCAGCATACTGTAGGATGTTCTGTCATTTCTACATAAATCCTCTCCTTTCTACATTTCTCGGATATTGTTTGGTGACATTTTTCCGTTAAATTCTTGGGCTTCCTTAAAGCAGAATTGAAATGGCTTTAGAAATTATCAGTGTGTCATCCCTGTTACAGCAGGTGCTGTAAGTTGGCATCTTAAGTTTGAGATTGGGGCAAAACTAATTCATTCAGTCTTACAAATATAAAATTAAATACTTGTCATTACTGAAAGATTTGTTTGTTATTATAATTAATTATGATTATTATGTGTTCTTCAAGAAACACATCAGTGCCTGGAATTCTCTGAAATGCCTGTTGCTATTTTTCTGACTGCATTCAATAAACTAGGTATTGTTGAACTTTCAAAAGTATATAAAGTAAAAACGTATTGAGGAATGACAATGCTACTCACTAATTCATTTGTGATATGAGCACTTAAATGTTAGTAACACTGTCATTAATAACACTGTCAAAAACATAACAGGAACATAAAAACAACCAAGGGCCAAAAAAATACGAAAGTTTTACTTGCAAGCTCATGCTAACTCGTGTTATTCATGATGCACAGCCAAGATTTTCTGATTGAAAAGATGACTTGCTGTGCTTGATGCGTTAGTATTAGCAATTCCTTCATGATTTTCTCATTTATGGTATATTGTTCAGATATGGCTACGATATCTGTATATTTTCGTTACTACACAATTCTGCTTTAAATGTTTAATAGATTTTTGTTGACATTATTTTGTTTTGTTGTGTCTATCGATGACCAGCCCCATTGCCTCTGTAGTCTATTGCGATTTAGTTGAAAGTGTGCTAATAGTTAACAGTAGTGTGCCAGGTCCAATTACCTCCAATATTCATGGCTTTACTTTTTAATTTCTCTAAAAGGGAATTTTTACACACTCCCGCACACCGAATTTTTTGTTTTACACCGAATTCTCACACACGCCCGCACTCTCTCGCACACTCCCGCACTCTCTCGCACACGCCCGCACTCTCTCGCACACGCCCGCACTCTCTCGCACACGCCCGCACTCTCTCGCACACTCTCGCACACTCCCGCACTCTCTCGCACACTCCCGCACTCTCTCGCACACTCCCGCACTCTCTCGCACACGCTCGCACTCTCTCTCTCGCACACTCTCTCTCTCTCTCTCGCACACGCCCGCTCTCTCTCTCTCTCTCTCGCACACGCCCGCTCTCTCTCTCCTACACGCTCGCACACCTACGCGCTCTCTCTCTCCTACACGCTCGCACACCTACGCGCGCTCTCTCTCTCTCCTACACGCTCGCACACCTACGCGCTCTCTCTCTCTCCTACACGCTCGCACACCTACGCGCTCTCTCTCTCTCCTCCACGCTCGCACACCTACGCTCTCTCTCTCTCTCTCTCTCTCTCTCTCTCTCTCTCTCTCACACACACACTTGCTGTCTCTCACTCGCTGCCACTCACTCACTCACTCACTCACTCACTCTTGTTCTCTTGCACACTCACTCATTTTCCCAGTACTGGGCTTATTTAGTCTACAATAGGTCCCCTTTATAGTAATCATGATAAGCATTTTTAGATCTTATAGACATAATAGGTCTTTCTCACTCCTATTAAATTCAGGTGTTATTTGTTGGTACGTAAAACAAAACAAACAAAAAAAACATTGTTCATATTTTGCAAGCATGAGCATAAGAACAAACGATGTTTAGACCTGAGAATCTGGGGCTTATTTATGAGCAATGAACTTACTATTAGTGTTTTGAATTCTCTGGTAATATTTTTTTATGCAATAACTTGAAATGCTCTGTTGTATTATTTCAGAAACGAGCAATAGCACTTCTGGTGATACTGGGTTAGACACCTCCAGTGAAAACTCTACTGCTGTTCCTTCATCACCTGCCGCTCAACCACAGACACTGTCTAATAAACCATTTTTGGAGATGATATTCAACACACTGGAATGTTCTGAAAATGACTACGCTGCCCTATTTGCTCTATGCTTGCTGTATGCTTTGGGGCACAACCAAGGTGAGATTTTATTTAGTTCTTTTTGCGGTTAACTTTATTAAATTTTATTGTTGTAAAATAAATTTATACCTTTTTCTTTGCATCAATTGTTAATGGGCTTTTGATCAGTTTGGGCACACATTTCAACTTTCAAATGTTCTGTAAATGTAGAGATGAAGTAATTAGAAAATGTAGCTTGGAGGTGAGGAGATCCCTTGAATGTTAATCATAAGTTATTCTTAGGTTATTGTAATGCTTAGTTTGACATTGATTTTATACCTTTGTAGAAAAGATCACCACAATTTCTTGTAGAATAAAAAAGAGAAAGATGTCTTTCTGGAAATTGTGAGCTTTGTAGAATTTAATGTATTTATTGTCAAAAAAGAGTAAAAACTGCATGTCACATGTGGGGCAGAAGTATAATTTGTGCATGTTTTTTGCAGCTCCGTAGGTTAGTAATATCCTGTAAAATATCTTCTTGTTGAGTAATAGTGCCCTGGGAAAGAGTCCTAGAGGGGAATGTTGAAAATATGTGAAAACTTGTTACTGTCTACAAATAGAGGGAAATGGAGATGATGGAATTTAGAAAATATTTGATTGTTGTTAAAACAGTTTTGTCAAACTGACTAAGCTGAGGTCCCAACTCATAAAAACAGTGAGACAGTGAAATTTCTTGTTATGACAGAAATGACACTAGTTTCTTACTCTAGACTATGTGTTAAGACTGCAGAACATTGTCAAATATTAGCCACAATTTTTGATTGTGGCTAATCATAACCACAACACCTAGATTACAGAGGTAGAATGTAGCAAGAAGAATGGAATTGATTTTTGAAGGCATTGGTGTTGATTTTTGAAGATTTTATCATTGAAATTTACTGGTTTAATGATAACTTTGGAATTACTCAAGAACAGAAAGCTCAATTTATTAAGAAGTAATTATAATTCATATTAGCACACCCCCCCACCCCCCCCCCCCAAAAAAAGGAGAAAAGGCCCAATTGATATTGTTTTTGTATTTGTTTTGTGATCTGTACGTCCTTTGAACAAATCAAGGTTGATGATTGCTTGTAAAAGTGGAATTACTTTTGAAGAAAACAAGACATGATTGCAGTTTTTATGAGAATGCCAGAACTGGTGATACAACACCTTAGCAGCTACTTAAAATATTAAATGAGCAACATGCATTTTTATTGTATTGTAAAATTAATTTAAAGCAATTTTCTTTTGATAACTCTTCAGAAGTAGAAAATGTTTTGGAATATTTAATAAAATGGTAACACCCGTAGATGATTCTGATACTATATTTCATTATTTCTCAAACAAGCAAGTTAGAATTTTATTTGGTGTCATTTATAATGACGTTAAAATAAAATGTGATTGTTCTGAATGAAAATATGTCAGGACTCACAAAGTTGTGCAAGTGGTAAGTGTTTTTTAATATTTTGTAATCTTCGTCTTGAGATATAAACTAGATGTATGATAGAATTTTTGAATTATTCATATTTCTTCTGCTTTCCTTTTCATGCATTCCTGGTGTTTATTAGATGGTAGGCATTTGTGGTTTTAATATGTAGTTAAAATATTGGTTCATAATTAGTGCCTATACTTACATGAAGTAAAAAAGGTTCCAATTAAGCTTTGTACTATGCACTAAATCTTAGAGATCTGCATAAAATATGGTGTTTAAAAATTATAGGAAGACATTTTTTCAAAAGAGCTATTCAAAACATTGCCTGGCATCCAATAAAATGGTTTTCAGGGTACATTTTATTCAGCATTCTCACCAGTGAACCAGCAATATTAAATTTGAAATTGGATGTTTTGTCAACGATTGAGTGTACAAAGTTATCAGAATTTTATATTTTTAAAATTTCAGTTGATTTTTTATAATAATTTTAAGAAACTTTTTGCACAGAAAACATTCTCTGGAATTTTGGTGCTTAGCACAAGTTTTTAAGGTTTATTTTGTTATTTGTATAGTAGAATATCAAGAGATGGTAAAAACGATAGCGATCTTGTTTGAAGCTATTGAGGATGGGAAGCAAAAAGGCAACCACAACTGTGGTAAAATGTCTTTGAATAGCTGATGAAGATTACCTGTAACTGATGATGTCCAGTAATTAAATAAAATTAGATAAGTGCTAAGGAGTATGTGCTTAACTCTGCTGGGAAATTAGAGTTTTTCATAAGACTGCTTCCTATATGCATTGCAGTATAACCCCATTCCTATCTGTTGAAAAGTATGTGCTTTTTGTTTTCATTGAACAGCATGATCTATCATTGATCGTTGTTTTAACTTCTGTAAGCCTTAGATATTCATGTATTGAAAATTGTTTTGAAACTAAATTAAATGTATCGCATCATTGGTTACCAACAGTAGCAGGTGACCAACTGGCAGTAGTAATTCTGTGAACTACAAATCACTGAAATTTTCAAGTCCAAGAAGCACTGTTTATTCTTTTTTCAGATGAATTTCCATGTTTAGTCTAGTATTCCCTAACATATTTTAAATTATTTTTCATGTCACAATTACTAAAGAATTCAAAATAATTCTTCAATTTTTTTTTAGTATTATTCCATAAATTAGTATTAATATGAAGAAATAAGCAAATAACCTTCAAATGTTGAATAACATGTGGCAAGATTGGTATAAAAAGCTGATTTGAAAAAACCTTGAATTTTCAAGAAAGAATTGGTGCAAACAATAAGCATTTGCATATAAATCTGGGCTTTTTTTTATGATTGACCTATTCTGTTATATTACAATTCATAAAAAATACTTTTGAATATTTTTCAGGTGTAAATGAAGACCTATTGGATTCTGTGCTATTTCCTTCTGAAAAAAAGGACACTAAACATTGGTACAACGTCTTACTCGTGGAAAAATTGATTAAAATTATATCATTGAGTTGCCAGCCTAGTAAGTAGCTTGAGTGCATTTAATGTCTTCTTTATAAATATACTGGTAGTTCCTGTCCATTTGGAAATCAAATGTATCCAATTTCAGAGTCAAGGGTGCGTTTGGTCACTTTAGAATTGAGCATTAGACTTCTTATTCAACTTGTTATGAAGAATGGGCAAAGTTTTCTTCATGACTGCCATTTGGCTGCTATTGAAGGGGCCAAAGAAGAAAGTACCTGCTTGTTGCATAATTTTTACAAGGTAAAAATTTGCTTTGTTTGAAGAGTTATTAAAATAAATTTTCTTTGATTTGCACAATGTCGTTTCAAATGAATGTTGAGAGGAACCTCTCAAGGTGTTAAATTAGTGTCATAGGTAATTTTATGAAATGAATTTCCTTTTTCAGAGTGAAGAAATTTTTCTTGATATGTTTGAAGATGAATATAACGAAATGAAAAAAGGACCACTTAATGTTGAATGGTTAATGATGGATTCAAATATTCTTCTTCCTCCAACAGGAACACCTATGACAGGCATAGCATTTGCGAAACGATTACCATGTGGGGAGGTAGGATATGCAAGGAGTTTGGTAATATATCACAATTTATGCATGTTGCAAAAAAATAATTTTTAGAGAAAGTTAAAATGTCGTGAATAAGAATAGACATTTCAAAAATTATTTCATAAATAAGGAAGTTAATGTTGTTCTCATATTCTATCATGCTAACTATAAATACTTATTTACCTGAATATAAGAGAATATATAGTGTTTTCCTAAATATCTAATTTCAGAAATACAGGTCATCTTATATTCACAGGTTAAGCCTAGTTGGTTAGGATTTGTTTTCACTCTGTGCTTCCACAAAGAAAAGCTAAAGTCCTGGTGCAATAATAAATTGCAATGGCAATTAATATCTTGTAGGTCTATAATACATAGTTAGTATATTTGTGAATGTATTGTTAGTGTCCTCTGCAAATTTACCAAGCGATCCAACATTTTTGAATGGTCCTTTAAAGAGAAAACCTTAAACAAGTGGCATTGTAGTAAGTGAAATGCAGTGTGAAAAGGAAAAAAAATTGTTTTAGAAATTGTGTTACACTGCATGCTAATTCAAAAGGCTGTGTGGATTCTCATTTTGATGCACGGTGAGTGCAAAACAGCATTTTCCAAGAAATAGAAATGAAAAAATTCACTTACTTAGAAGTACACATTCTGTATCCAACCACAGAAAATTCTTAGAAAAAATATTTTCTTAATAAAACTTCTCGAATTTGGGAAGATGCGGTTTACCCGTGTTGGGTTCCTGTGATGTGGATATGCAAGAGTTCATAGTTCACAACTTGATCATGCGAACATTCCATGATGAAAATTTCAAGGGTATTCTATAAATTAAAGAATGGTGAAAGAATTGTTAAAAAATCAGAAGCCGCTAACAAGAGTGTGACTAGTAGAAAATCTTATGAATTAAAAGGGAATGTTCTTAGGTGGCATCAGATAAAAAACAAATCCAGATTCAACATGCAAAACTTTCACGGGAGCCTCAAAAATCAGAGGACGATGCAGTAAGGGAGGTGAGTCAAAAATAGGGAGATAAATGTGAAGATGAAAGTGCCAAAATAATGATAATTGTGATTTTATGGCTTAGGCAATAAATTTGAGCATTCGCGTCAACAAAACAATTTGAAATTTTATTTTGGCTAAATGGCAAGATTTTGTTAAAAAATTTAAAAAATGCTCATGACACTATCATATTTAGGGGGCTGTCTTGTATTCAGTCAGCTTATATTCGGGTAAATACAGTAATTTATGTAATGGTGTTTAATGTTTGAAAAAAATAATGTGTACATTTATGCCATTGTTGATGATTTCAAATATCACACAAATGTTCACAAGAGATTAAATGAGCAATAAGGATTCATTTTCTGTGCAAAATGAATGAGTTAATTAATTAATGAACATTTAAACAAAAGTTCTTAAAATGTTTTAATATGATATGTTATTAATTTTTATAATTATTTTTGTTAATTCAATTTTGTTGTTTTTGTAATTTTAGGTGGAGCATGCACGACGGGCAATAAGAGTTTTCTTTTTAGTGAGAGAATTATCCCTAACATTGAACTCTGAAGTAGAAACTCATTTACCTCTTACAAATCCTCAAAAATGTGTACTGGTGGAAAGTGTGTTGAATCTCAGTAAGTTTATAGCACATTTCAAATTCAACGATTTTTTAATGCCCTACAAGATTTATTTTTTCTAAAATTATTAAGCATTTGCTCTCTTGTTTTCTTTTATACCACTACTGATGATGTTGCAGACAATAGCGACTTAATTGCATGTACGGTGGTCATGAAGGATGGACAGAAGATTCGACGGTTTCTGGTTATTGAAGCTATTCAACTAATTTTAGCTGAACCTCATGTTAAACGACTTGGTTGGGGTGTAGCAAAGTTTGTTGGTTTTCTTCAGGTAATTGTAAAATATAATAAAAATCATTGAAATTTTTATCTTGTTTTATCTGCAAAGAAAAACCTAATTTGGAAATCTTCTTTACCAGGATATTGAAGTTGCAGGAGACAAAGATGATTCACGATGCTTACATATAACTATTCATCGCCCTTTGTCCTCGGGTTCAGCCAATAGGATACCGTTACTTTCTGCAAAATTTATATTTGATGACCACATTAGATGTTTGGCAGCTAAACAGAGGTATACAATCATTTTCTTTAGGTTTGATTCATTAAACATTTATTAGTTTCTCTAAATTATATTTTTTTTTAGGTTAACCAAAGGTCGCATCAAAGCTCGACAGAAGAAAATGTACATGATTGCACGCCTACTTGATCTTCCTAGCAATGTGCAACCATGTCCTTCTCCCCCAACTGCTTTATTGGGCCATCGTGGAGCTGAAGGGCACAGTATGTTTATATATAATGTTGATTAGGTATTGCATTGGTGAGTTTCCAAATCCACATTGTATTGTACTTGTTTTATAGGATCTGGAAATCCTCGACCTCTAAGAGATTCAGGCCATGGCCACCATAGGCCTTTGTTTACAAATGTCAGCAAAGTACCTGGTTTTGCCACTGTGCGGAGGGAGAGTCTGCCGTCTTCCCCACGATCAGCCTCTCCGGCGAAACGTAATTCTGATATGCCAGGTGTGTATTTCTGAAATATGAATATCAAAATTAAGAAAAATTAAATATAAAATGGAGTTTTAATAATAAGAATTTAAGATAATGAAGTGGGGCTTTGGTACATTGATAATTGGGATTGTTTCTCTCCACAATTGATAGATTGATATTATGCTGCAATTGTATTATTTTGTAACACAGTGAACAAAGGAATTGGATTAGTCTGATAATTTTGAATATTTATATAATATAAATAAAAAGGACAAAGTAAATATAGCATTGTAAAAACATTAGTAGAATTTTATTACATAATTATCACATTTATATTGTGTTGTGTTTTACTTACAAGAATAGTTGATTGAATGTGACTGTATCTGTGTATAGAGAGGCCCTCTCGATCTGCGGGACCTAGCAATCACGGTGCTGTACGTTCAAGAGAAGGCTCTCCACGACTGCCACGGCCACGAAGTGAAGAAATCCCATTAGAGGATATGGGTTCTAAAGTAAGTTTTTAATTTTTTAAAATGTTTTGCATGTAATCTTGAACTTAGTGCAAAATGTAAAGGGAATGATCTACTGTCGTGTATTTGATTATCATAATTTGCATATTGTTGTTATTGGTAGTGAAATGATGCATATACATTGATGTAATGTATGGCTGTATAGAATACTTGATTATTTTTGCTTTTAAAATGAAGAAATTTAAAAATAACGAGACGATAAATATCAGTGTAAGATAACCTTCATATTTGTTGTCTTCATAGATACTTTGGAAACAGACCAGTATAATTATATCATTATTTTTTAAATGGTATTCATACCACACCAAAAGTTGGTGATGTAATAATGAAGGACGTCATTGAAATTACTTTTGGTCCATGGTGAATCGTAATGGTAAATAACATTTGTGATAAGACTGTAGGAACTGTGATATCTTCTTTATCTCTTGTTAATAAGATTGTTGCTACTATTAAATTATTTTATTTAATAAAATAGTTGGTGAAAATATTAATATTTATAAGTGTTAGTAAGCTTGAAGTTACATAACTATTGTATAAAATATTATTTTTTGTCTATTGTAGACAATCACAAGTACAGTGGTGCAATAAAATAGTAATAATATGCGTTAAGTTGTTGTTTCCATTGATTTAAGTCATACAATTTTTTTTTCTGTATTTTTCCAAAAAGTATTTTCTTCATTGTTTCTGTGTTTCTGGAGTAAATTTAAGATAATTTTCATGTAGGTGAAAAAACAATCATATGTTTAATAAGGTGAATTTTGAAAATGAGATAGTTTTTGTTTATAAAAGTGTTCTGGTTTTGTGTTGATTTGTGAAGGTTGATCTCATATTTGTGGTCTGCATCCCACATTTTTCTTTTATCTATGTGTTAACATTTAACTGATCTCTTGGTGTTGCTTGAAAATGTGCAAATAAGTAAATAAAATAATTGCTGTTAATAATTACTTTCTGTGATATATTTATTTCCTGTGTTTGCAAATTTCCATTTTGTGTGGGATAATAATATAGTGAATGTTTAAAATGCATATTAAAAGTATGATTTTTTGTGCAGTTTAAGGAGAGGTAAGTTTGCCAACAAAGTGAATGAATATGTTTTGAAATTCGAATTGGTATCGGAGGAATAGAAACCGGTGTATCACATGTGGTTTTTCCTTAGATTCTATGAGTCCAGTTTCCTATTAAGATGTTTCTATTAAGACGTTAACAAAAATTGTTTACTTCACTATTTTATTTACCTTTTTTAAATTGTTTATTCAAGTTTATAATTGTTTGCAATTCCAGATTGAGAATGAAGATTGTTTAAAATTGTACTTGTTTTTAAGAAAAATATTCTAATTGTTCCAAATTTTAATGTCATTACAATATTATTCAAAATTTCATTACATAATGTGGCATGGTTGACTTTATTTGGTGACTTAAAAATTTAAAATGAAAAAATTATTCTACTTTTTCTCTGAAATTTTAGAACAAGAACCGTGCCAGCAATGGGTGCCCATCACAGACAACTGGAGCTGGCGGGTTGGTGGAAAGTAGTCCCAAGAGTTTGCAGCGTTCAGCCTTCCCTAATTTGTATCCATCGGTAGAGCGCCCTGTGTTTCCTGGGTTATTTCCAACTTTAGTTGCTACTACAATTCCTCCACCGCCTTGCAAACATATTCCGTGCTCTGAACATCAGACATTGCCAGATCAAGAACCCCATTCATCAGGTGAGGAGACTGCCCCTCCTCCAGTTTTGGCTCCTCCAGTATTGCGATCAGAAGAAACCTCATTTACTCAGCTTCCTAATGTAACAGGTCAAACTCATGAAGAGAAGAGAGCTCGCAGAAAAGGCATGGTTGAAACAGTGTGAAAGGATTTGTGTGTGTTGCTGGTGGTTGTTAATTGTTGATTGTTGAATATACTGCATATTTAAACAAAAGTGGTACTTGGAAAACAACATATCAAGAACTGCCACCTTTCTGTTGCTTACACCATCTTCAATAATTATTAACATGAAAAGCTGTTATGTTTGGTCTTATGGATATTTTATTGCAGGGCATCTAATTTTTTAAATATATAGGATTTAAAATATTCATAACTCCGTCCAGGTAATATTTTCAAATAATTTCTGTATGCTTTATAAATCATTTACGATGGTAAGCTTAATCACCAATTGGCTTTGATTAGTATTGTGACCCCAGAATTTCTAACGAAAAATTGTAACCCACAAAATTAATAGCTTCATTACAGAAAATGGTATATTAAATAATTGTAACATTTTATCATTGACTTTACAATTTGCTTTGCTGGATTAGATGTTGGAACTTGTCACCAACCATGAATACATCATGATGAAGACAAAATTAAGCTGTTTTACAGTATAGTAAAATTGTTGATAGTGGTGAGAACAACTTCAGGGAAGCATTTGTGATTAAAATCTGTGGTAATTTTAATTTCAAATTATAGATTGAAAGAAAATGATACTTTATCATGAAAATGTAGGGTATTCTGGTGCTTTGGATTGTTGTTGTAAAATAGTGTGTAAAATCTGAGAAAATTTTTATTAATGCCATGTACCTAAATTTGAGGTCATTACATTCTTGTTGGCAATGATGTACATAAGTAAAGCTACCAAGCATTTGTATGCATTGTTTTTTGTGCATGGTAATGTGTGACAACTGGTAGTTAATGTTTTATTGTTATGCTTTTTGGAAAATGACTTTCTAGTTTAATTTGAAAGCATTGAAGCCCAGTTGTGATATTTTAATTTTGGAATGTAATCTTTGGTTACTCTGCTTTAGCAAATATTCATTCCATTGAAAGTGATAAGTGTGAATAGGAAGCAAATGATGTAAAATTAGTAAGAATGTATGTTTGATTGATTGCTTGTTTGTTAGTTTGTTTGTTTGTAAGTATGGATGTACAAATTTGATTTATTTGTTCTGATTTTTAAAATTTTCCATCAACTGTACACTTTAATTTGTCATGTAATATGTAAATAACACTGTATTTATTGTCATGATGGAAATGAGGCAAATACACAGTGATACTGATGGTGTGTTTCTTTCAGAAGTTAATTTAATAAAGTGCCAAATTTTACGGTTAATTGCTTGTAATTTCATATTAGCAATTTCCATATTGCTCTTGTTTCACAATGTTGTGCAATTAAGATAATTTGGGTAAACAAATATTAGTTGGGAGAAACTTTTTTACATGGACCCTTTATTTCATTCTGACTTTTGCACTTGTTTTTTTTTTGCTGTGTTTTGCCCTTTAGTACAAGAAAGTTAAGGAAAGTTTTAGGTTATGTTTTCCCATTATAAGTTTTCAAAGAACAGAAAGAATGTGAAGATAAATTTTACTTCTGAAACCTAAGTGCCTAAATGCACCAGACTTTAGTGGGTAGAGATGAGGCTAGGAATTGACTAAATGACACATGGTATTCATTAATGCAATGTAAAAGATATTTCCACTTCTTATACTACTACTTTGTTTTCCTTTAGTGTCATTTTTATTCCAAAGATTATTTCACAATTCATTCTCTTGAGTCATGGAACAAAGGGGGAAACAAAGGAAAAAAGTATTTAACATGTAGTGACTACATCATGTTGATCTTCAAGTTCAGCCATTCCTTTGTGCTCTGAATTTAATTTCTTTAAAAATTTACTGTTGGGTGTAACTTTGGACAAAATTCCTCTTCGATTTAATTTCTTCTTAAATTCACAATGTTTTCTTTTACGTGGGCAGAGGTCCTTTTTTTACTAGGTATTGTAAAATGTAAATCAATTTATGAGAACTGATGATTTTTGAGGAAGATAATGATTTTTTTGAGAACTGATATGATTTACTCCAAAAGAGAATAGTAAAAAACCAATTTTTTTAAACATTTAATGCAGAATCATAAAAAAAATTGTTTTTTTTTTACTCGTCTTCAAATGTTATCTACATTGCCGTGGGTACTTGGCAAACCTTATGTAATGAATGTGCATTGTGTTCAATTTATAAATTGTGACATTGACAACAAAACATTGATAGTTCTAAAGTTCAATGCTCAAAATTAAAACATTGACCCCAAACCATCGATGTTATTAAACATCAATGCTTTTAAGAGTGGATAAGTAGCTGTTAAAGTTCGTGTGTGTGTGATTTACTGTGAAAGTGGTCTCTTTGTTTTTTCTGATAAATTCCAATAAGAAATTACTAAGTCAAAAAATCATCTGGATAATTAACAAAATTGATTATCAGATTAGATAATTGATAAATAATATAGTCCTTTTTTTTGATGAAAACTCGATTTTATTTATTTTTCATTCTTGGATACGTTAATCTGAAAAATATTTGATTTATGGATATCTGAAACTCAATAGAATTTTGTTTCGATGGTTATGTTTTCACTTAAAAAAATATCAAGTAAAAACATAGAACTCGCAACAACGATGTTAAAAAATCGATGGTTGGAAAACATTGACATCGATGTTACAATCTACCCGATATTCACGGCTTTTCCAGGGTTATAGTGTGTATGCATCAGAGGAAAGTCAACGTAGCTTGAAAGCACCTCGGTATTAGATTTTTTTACTTAGTTTTCCAAAGTTATTTGAACCCAAAATACTGAAATCCACCTCAAAGGAAGAGGAATGTGAGTCCTGATGGTTACAACCCTTGCTGAAGTATTGAAACCTACTTCCGTCAACCTCATTTCGATAGATCATATGGGTATGAGTTAATTTCAGAGATAGCATCACTTAGAAGTTGTGTTTTTGGTGATTTGGGCCTGTGAAGGAGCTCGAGGACACCGGGGCGGCCTTGAAGTGTTACTTTACAACAACAACAAAATGAACAAAATCATTAGGATTTGGTGCAGTTGTTATGGTCGTTTGCAAACGAGGGAAATGTAACCGAGTCAGTTTATCTGCATTCATTGGCAAATAGTCATGTCGGTTTTGATTACACATTTGTATTTAATAGTGAATATCAATTCTTAATAAAATAATTTAAGTGCCGTCAATATTACAAATGTATTTCCCTCAACTTCGAGACTTTCACATCTGAGGGATTGTTCCACCACCATTCATTGTTGCGGGTTAAACGACCGTCTGTCCCTTTTTGATTTACTTTTCTTAATTTCGACACTTCGTTAAATCCGCGAAGGCGCTTTGGCGAGGCGAGGCCAGGCCGTCGCGGCCGTGCGATCAGCAGCAACTGCCTTCAGGTGCGCGTGCTAGCGAGTGGTAACCGCGCGAACTGTTAGTGCTCCTCCGAAGCCCGTGGTGAGCGCACGGACGGGTCGGCTCGGCTCGGCTCGGCTGTGCGGAGCGCGTACTCCGTGAACGCGCGCGGCGCCCGGCAACGTGATCGTCGAATGGTTTCGAGACGAAAACGTGTTTCAAAGCACGTGCCGTTCATTGCATTTCGTTTTGGCTTGTTCGTCAGTTTCCGTGCTGTGGTTGTCGCGTGTTACTGTCAGTGTGTGGTTTGTGTGTGGAGATACTGGTGGTGTCGCTTTGCCGTTCGCCCATTGCTGCTGGGAGTCTGCTGGAATATGTGTGAGTACGGAATTTATCATTTTGTATTCTGATAGGTGACATTTAATATCGATGTTGCAGAGACTACACACGTAAACTTATGTATTGGGTGATTATTATTGGAAGGCGTTTCATGTTGTAAATTGGTTTGGTTTGAACGATTTATTTCTCTTGTTTTTTGTTTTGGACTTTTTCAAATTTCTTTTCATCGTTCATTGCAAAGTTCAGAGTATGATAATGCGAGTTGAAAGAAATCTGAGAAGATGAACTAAGTACACAGGGCATTAGTTATCTGTTGTAAATTTTAATATTAGTAATAACTGCAATGGATATATTTTAAAATCAGCGTTCATTTGTTTCCTTTCTAGTTTTGTAATAATCACGCTAACGCGTCTATCGGAAATTAATCTATACATTCAATAAGATCTACTTCCATAATTGGATTCCTCCTAATATTTATTTTTCATGATTCTTGCTATTTAGCATACGTAAATATTCCCAGCAATTTTCTAACCAGAAGCTGCCGAGATGCTGAAAGAAGCATAAACGGAGTCACTCGGATTCAATGATACCACCTGAGCGGCCTTTAACCCGCTGACATGACATGACGAGGGGGGGGGGGGCGCTCTCTACCGT